ATAGACACACTTTTCCACAAGAGGAGTATAAAAGAATTCATACTAGTCCTTAATCTGCCATATCCACTTTTGTTAAAAATATGTATTGGATTCCCTAAGCAGTACAGTGAGGTAGGTAAAAGAAACAAAATGTGTAGAAAAGATAAAACAAATGTATTATATGTAGAAGATATGGTGGCATTCAGAGAAAATCCCAAAGAATCTATATATAAATCATTAGAATCAAAGGAATTTTCCAAGCTCATTGAAAACAAAATAAATACAAAAAATAATTGTATTTATATATGCCAGAACCAAATAGTTGGGAAAAATAGTTTAAAATAGCATATAAAAATTGCAAGTACTGAATTGTCCATTCCTGTCAGATGCTGACAGCTACCTAAATATTTCACGTCTTCAAAAACCACACACACACACACACACACTTTAAAATTTGGAATAAACTCACCCATAACTCACCTACAGAATAAGAAGAAGCCAAAGAATACTGTGAGTGTCCATTTATAAGTAGGAAATAAATTTTCTAAAGGTAACAGACCTGGCTTCAGAGTTTGCTCTTGAGAGAGCCTAGCAGAGACTGCAAAAAAGAGGAGAGGTCATTATGGGGCCTAGTAATGGTAGGACAAGATAAAATCACTTCTAAAAAGAAAAATTCCTCATCTGAGTGATTAAATACTCTGAGACCTGCATTGGTTTCTGGAGAACTATAAGGAAAGGGAGTGAAAATATATGGGACTAGAGATGCTGAATGAAAGAAATGGTGGACATTAAGTCTCCTATAAAACAGAAATGGATTACTAAATCACATGACACACAAACCTCTTCCACTCCCATTTATTAAATAAATTGTAGCAGTCAGTAGAGAGTACTTCTGGATTAAGAAACCTAGTAAGCTTCCCAAACCTCTTACCTTTGCCTACATAAAATCACCTTTTATTGTTGAAACAAGAAAACAGAAGGGATTTGTAAATGAACAGAAAAGTGTATATGAGATAGCTTGTATTACTGTATTGCTCTTGACTTTTTACTTCCTCTTTTCTTACAAAAACCTCACTGGCTTTGGGCAGAGCCATATGACTCAACTTGACCAGTAAGTAGCATGTGAGTGGACATGACAAATGCTTTAAATGTGATGGTATGTTTCACTCAGTCCCTCATGCCAAACTTTGGGTCTCTAGACCTATGAGAGAATAAACTTGTTTTTCAGCCACAAAGTTTGTGATACTTTGTTATAACTGCCTTAGAAAATTAATGCAAGTATATAGGAAATATTAGAGTTGAATTAAAAGTGTCAATAAGAGTTGTAGAATTTATAAAAAGTTGTTCTAGCACTGTCTCCTGAAAGAACCTAGCAAAAATAACACCACAGTAGCAATGAACATGCTATGCTCAGATCTTGGTCTCTATCATTTCCCAGTAAAAAGGAATCTGGGCTTCCTTGAGAAGTGACTGATTCCAAGGCTAGAGCAAAGAAACTGCCATGTGATCTTGGAAAATCTTGATGTACCAGAATGCAAAGTAGCACTCAAAGACAAATGGGGCCCATGTGAAAAGAACACAGCAGCTGACTTGAAGGGCTTCTTATTGGTCAAATTTGAAGCAATTTGAGCATCAAAAAGAATAATGGTTGTAACAGACTACAGCAGTCATAGTAAAGAAAGAATCCAAGACTCCATAATTATGTTAAAAATAATAAAGGAGGCCAGGTATGGGAATACACTTGTAGTCCCAGTGACTTGGAAGGCTTGAAGCAGGAGGATTTCAAGTTCAAGACCAGCCTCAGCAACTTAGTGAGATCCTGTCTCAAAATAAAAAATAAAAGGGGCTAGAGTTGTAACTTAGTATTAGAGCACTTGCTTAGCATGAGTAAAGGCATGAGTTTGACCCCCAGTACCACATACACAAAACTAAATAAATAAAGGAGGAGAGGGAACATTTCTTCAGAAAATGATTTCAACTAATAAATGTAGGACAAATGACAAAATTAGAAGTGGAATTTGCAACTATTGATATGCTTGTAAGGAAATTTATTGGATGGTAAAACTATTGGATGAAAGCTTGTTGGGGAACAGAACATTCACACAGTTTCAAAGTTTACCCCACAGAATGTTTCTGAGGAAAGGGAAATTGTTACCTAAATTTATAATAGAGAGATTGGGTGGATACCATTTTAACCAAGACAGAGAAAATAATCAATAGGTCTCTAATATGTAAATTCCACAGAGGAAACAAATATGATTTTGAGATTTAGAATAAGCAGGAATCTTATTTTGATGAGAAAGAGCTCTCTCAAGGTGTGTCATTTAAACAGAAACACAAAGGATAAAAAATAATGGATAAAGGAAGGAGAAACAGAGGTATATAACCTTTCCCAACAGAGAGAATCATATATACAAAAGCTCTCATGTTAAAAAAGGAGCTGGCATGGTCCAGGAGATCAGTGATGCAGTGAAATGGGGAATCCGATTGTTAATGAGATAAGAGACTGGGCAGGGGCCCTATTGTGCGGGACTTGGAGACCACAATTAAGAAGTTTGGTTATTTTTTTAAGTGATATGGAAGGATTTAATCAGGAATATGGCATTTCCAGAATCATATTGAGAAGATTCTTCTGGCTGCCACCTAAGGGGGCTAGGTTGAGTAGACCAAATAATTCAGCATCTCTAGGAAAGGAGCTTTCCAGTAAGCATCTAGGGTTGGGAACATAGAGGAAAATGTAGCTAAAGTAAAGTAGAGGGCCTCGATGTCCTTTGTTTTGATAACTAACCTCTTCATAGGATCAGTATTATTTCATGCCCCATTTACTACAAAACAGTCCACAAGTAGAGCAGCTGCTAGCCAAGTGAAAGCACTCCATTGCTAAGAGTGGTGTAGCAGGTTTCTGTGTCCTTCCAGCAATGCCCTGCCTGCCTGCATGATGTGAGCAGTGACTGCATGAGGCTGTGACTTGCTCTCTCCCTCTCTCTCCCCCTCTCTCTCCCTCTCTCTCCCCCTCTCTCTCCCCCTCTCTCTCCCCCTCTCTCTCCCCCTCTCTCCCTCTCTCTCTCCCCCCTCTCCCCCTCTCTCTCCCCCCTCTCCCTCTCTCCCTACCTCTCTCCCCCTCCCTCTCGCCCTCTCCCTCTCCCCCTCTCTCTCCCCCTCTCTCTCCCCCTCTCTCCCCCTCTCTCTCCCCCCTCTCTCTCCCCTCTCTCTCCCTCTCTCTCCCCCTCTCTCCCCCCCTCTCTCTCCCCCCCTCTCTCCCCTCTCTCCCCCTCTCTCTCCCCCTCTCTCTCCCCCTCTCTCCCCCCCTCTCTCTCCCCCTCTCTCTCCCCCTCTCTCTCCCCCTCTCTCTCCCCCTCTCTCTCCCCCTCTCTCCCCCCCTCTCTCCCCCTCTCTCTCCCCCCTCTCTCTCCCCTCTCTCCCCCTCTCTCTCCCCCTCTCTCTCCCCCTCTCTCTCCCCCCTCTCTCTCCCCTCTCTCCCCCTCTCTCTCCCCCTCTCTCTCCCCCTCTCTCTCCCCCTCTCTCCCCCCCTCTCTCCCCCCCTCTCTCCCCCTCTCTCTCCCCCTCTCTCTCCCCCCTCTCTCTCCCCCCTCTCCCCCTCTCTCTCCCCCTCTCTGACTTTAGTGCCCCAGGTCTACCCTCACGTTGTACTTTTTTCCTACCATTTTGTTCTGATTTCCTCTGTGGGATTAGTGTTTTTATCTGTACTGCAGGACACTGAGAAAAACATTTTAAACCACATTTGCCAGGAAAAGTCCCTTCCTGCTTGGAATGTGAAGTGAAACACAACACAGTTTGCAGAGATAGAGCAGGCAGGATGATTACAGAGAAATGTCCTTCTAGCAGCCCCAGGGAGCTGGAGCCCTTTGGTTGCTATTTCACCACTTCTTTCCCCTTACCTTGGCCCACAAAGTCCCTTGTTTGCACAGAGACTATCTCTGCAGATCTTCTGGATAACATCTAATCTGGTTGTCCTCACAAGAGCACGTACTGGGATGAGAAGTCACCTGTTTATACGGGGTTCTTGTTTTCCAAGACTCTTGCTTATTCTCTGCATTTGCCTGGGGTCTCTACCCTAAGATTACTATGGAACCCCCACACACCAAAACCACCCCACAGCATTTCAGAGTTGCTATGAATTATACTTTTCAATATTCACACTTTCATTTTCCCAAACATCTGCTGGCTCATAGGTGGGCTTACCTCCAAAGTCCCAGTGTGGCAAGGTGTCTTGAGTCTGGACTCACTTCCCTCTTCTTCTCCCTTCTGTATCCCTCCCTCTGGCCATCAAATTGTTTGCCTTGCTATGCTGCTTTTTCTATCATTCTAAAGTTGCTACCAACACATGTGAAAACAGCTTATCTGAGAAATAACACTAGCTACCATTTATTGAGTGCTTACTGCATACTCCTTTTGCAGTGGCAAATGCACTAAGAAGTCAGCTGGCTGAGGCCTGCCTCCAGTCTTCTGATGGCTTGATCATACATGCTGTGTATGACCCTCAGCAAAGCATTAAATTTCACTGAGATTTGGGAGATTGAGAACATTTCAAATATAAGGCATAACTAGAGCAAAAGCCCTCACAGCAGACAATCAGGATGCTCTTTTTTTAAAAAAAAATTTAGTTGTAAATGGACACAATACCTTTATTTTATTTATTAATGTGGTGCTAGGGATTAAACCCAGTGCCCCACACATGAGAGGCAAGCGCTCTACCACCAAGCCACAACCCCAGCCCCAATCAGGATGCTCTTACTTGTGCACATCACATACTTTCCCTGGCCCACATTCATGCAACAGAGTCATCTAGTCACTTCCCAGGGTTCAACTGGAAGTGACAATAATTCCTGTGCTTTGTGGTAGGCATTATTGTGGATGCCAAGAAGGATAAGGGCCATGTTGGAAAAGGAAATATGGGTGAGAGACTGAGTAGGAGGCTAATGGCCTTGAGGAGGAGTGGTATAAACATTGTAATTGTTTTCTTGTCACACAACTAATAAATGCTGTCTTTCCTCTTTCAGATTTTTCAGGGAAATCAAGACTCCTTCACACCTGTGGTGAACTCTCTAGACCCACCATTACTGACTCGCTACCTTAGAATTCACCCCCAGAGTTGGACACACCAGATTGCCCTGAGGTTGGAGGTTCTGGGATGTGAGGCCCAGCAGGTCTACTGAGGGGCTCATGACAGTCCCTGTTGGTCCCCTCTCTTCCCTTGTTAGCTCCAAGACAATTTATAACTTAAGGCCAATATCCCTCTCAGGCTTCTGGGTTACATACTACCCTACACTGTCTATGGTTTCATTATTTTTCTATGAATTTAAACTATACAGTCCTACTAGATATGCCCTGAAGCCATTTGTATGAAGACATGTAAGTGGCAAATAACTCAGAAAACCCAAGAAAGCTGAATCCAAGACTAAGAAACAACTAGATTTACACTATAGAATCCTCAAAAAGGTTGTGGGGAAAGCAGTCTGTGACTTTGAGTAATTCTTGAAATCAAGGTAAATGTTAATGTTAAACCTAAAAAAAAACTATTTGAGAAACTGTCTGGATTGTTTGAGAAGTAGTTTAATCCTACTCAGCACTACCAGAAGCCTGGAGTTTGATCTTTTGGGGAAGGATCAATGAACTGGAAGATACTAGACATGACTCAGAGGTCCCAGAAGATTACAGAGCCTGCTCTCACCCCTGGAAGATCATGGCCAAGTACCAAGTTGGGACAGGTTACGAAGTCTGAATCCCTTATCTGAAGGAAGGTCAAGTCTGAGGTACAAATTATGCACCAGTGAACTCCATGAAATCAAGCTAAAGCTGCATATCATCTGAAATCAGAATTTTTTGTAGTTCTTTCCTTTGTCCTTCCTGCATTCTCTTACAGTTTTCTTCTGAGCACATGCCTTCAATAAATACATGCACTGGAATCTTCATCTCAGAATCTGCTTCTAGTCAACCCAAATTTAAAACAGTCAGTTATCCAGTTCTGAGCATTCATGTTGGTATTTTAATTGAATTCACTGATTAATATAAGGAATGTTGAAATCTTTAAAATAGAGTCATTCCCTTGAAAACTAGATTGGTAGGCAGCCTCTAAAATGGTCCCAATGATTTCTGATTTCTGGTATTCATATTGTGCTATTTCCTCCCTACTACTGTCAGCTGGACCTGGTAACTCACTTCTAACAAATAGAAAAACTGATGGAATGCTCTTTCTGAGACTAGGTTACAAAAGACTGTGACTTCCTTTTTGCTCAGCTTCTTGTAATCTCTCACATGGAGTCCTCAATCTCGGGGAAACCAGTGTCATATTGTCACCGATACTATGGAAATGCCCACATGGCAAGAAAATGATGTCTTCAGCCAAAAGCTAGTGAGGATATGAGGTCTCATTACAGACTCATGAGTGAGCTTGGAAAGATATTCCCCCAAATTGAACACTGACACAATTTGATTGCAGCCTTTTGGGATATTCCTGATCCAACTAAACTGTGAGACAGTGCTTGCTGTTTTAAGATATTAAGGTATGGGTGAATTTTTAATGTAGCAATAGGTTGATATTGGTACCTGGAAATGAGGTTCTTCCAAAAAATAACTACAAACATGAGAGTTCCTTTGAAACCTGGAAGTAGGTGGAGTACAATAATAGACTGTTATTAAAAATCTGGCTGGGTGCAGTGGCACACGCCTGTAGTCCCAGCAGTTTGGGAGGCTGAGTCAGGAGGATCTCCAGTTCAAAGCCAGCCTCAGCAATGGCAAGGTGCTAAGCAACTCAGTGACACCCTGTCTCTAAATAAAATACAAAATAGGGATGGGGATGTGGCTCAGTGGTTGAGTGCTACTGAGTTCAATCCCCAGTATCCCCCCCCCCAAAAAAATCTAGATTTTGAGGATACTACCACTGAATGTTTAGAAAGAAATATGGAGCATGTCATCAGAAACTGGATGAGAAAGAATTCTTGTGTAATTAAAGAAAGTACCTTCAATAACATGGAAAGCATAAAATGTGTATAATGAGCTGGCTGATCTAGCTAATGAGTTAACTACTCTTACATTTGCATTTTAAACTGGCATTACACAATATGAACAGTAAAATTCATGCTAATTAATTTAAATTGTTAAATTTCTTTATTACTGTTAGCTTACAGATGAGTAATGAAGGGTTAAAAGGAAAAAGAAGAACTAGTCACCTTATCTTTTTCTTTCCTTCTATGTCATCAATTTCACCAAAATAACAGGAATAAGAAAGGAAATGATAAGGGTCCTGGAATGCCATTGTCTTCTTTCTGGTTGAAATAGAAAGGGGCCTCTTGGGACTGCCACTGATGTAGCATACTTTCTTAATACTCCATTTTGAATCTCACTGAACTTCCACATTCATGGGCATTGTAACTACCATACAAGTAGAGTGGCAAAGAATGGAAGAAACCTGTATGCTACATTTATTTAGTGTGTTCATGCACATGCTTCATTGTCCTATCAAACCTCACTTAAAGATACAAGAATAAAGATAAAAATTACTAAAAATTTTCAGATAGTGATATGAGAACATTAAAGTAAGCATGAAGCCTTTCAGGGTATGGTCACCACCTCTTCAAAAGCTCTCCACCCCCATGCCAGATCCACTCAGCTAATCCACTCCAAACTTCATGAGCTACAGAAACTATAAGATAAGAATCAATTTTTATTTTCAGTTGCTAAGATTGGGGCTACCTTTTCATGCAGCAATAGATAACTTATACAGTAGCCATATTCTTTTTATACTTGAAAAGAAGCCCAAAATACCAATTTTTAGCTTGTATACATTCTCACTATCTATTGTCTTAACTTATGGGCATAAGGCAATGACCAAGTTTGCAGGTTCTCCAGCTCCTTCTGGATCCTTAAACTTTTCCAAATCCTAGGAAAGGTGTGTGTTTAGCTCTTTGATGAAATAGGTCAACTTCTCATTCATAGTACCCTAAAGCTTCCAACTTTGCAACTAATGCAGATTTTAGCCCATCTTATGGGCTCCAGCGTGTACCTACAGACTGCCAGTGTGTATTTGTTTTCTTAAACTTCACCCCATCTTCCATTCTTATCAATCGTGTGGACTTAAAGCCCTAGCACTCAGACAGAAGAGAAGGGTTAAATGTTCCCCCAAAAGGTACTTTTCTTCCATCCTAGCTGTGTTGCCGATAATTGGCCCTGCAGCCTCTCTGGATATCTCTGCCCTTTGTAGCTGCTTAGATGTCCCACTGTGTTCCATGGTTAGCCAGCAAGACACTGCACATGTGTGAGCCTACCATTCTGTCTATAGAAGCATACTTCATCTATCATTGGATCAGTCCATGTACTGATTCCTCTTATGCTGCAGCACAAGTCCTAATAAGGCTTCTTTCAGATGTTTTTATCTTGTCTATTCTTGATTTCCATCTTGAATAGAGCAGGCTAAGCTGATGGCACTAAGAGCTGGTAACAGTAAAACCTGCTGGTACTGAAACAGACCAGCACTCAGGGCAAGGAAAAGTGAGAACAGCTGACATCCAGAGAGCAGTGGGGACTGGTAGGAAGCAATGGACAACTGTGGGAGCTGCTAGCTCTGGTTGCTGGAAGAGTTCCATACAGCTGCCAATAGCTACTGATTACATTTGCTAAGAGACCAGTAGGGAGAGCTGCAAACACAAATGGAGCTACACTTTGCCTATTTGTGATTCCTGTCCTAATTGAGCAAAAGAACCCACAAATGAATGGTGACAGCATCAGACACAGAAGCAACAGCTTCCTATAGACTGTAAAAACAAATTGTACAATTCTATAAGGTCAAATTCTTATAAAGAAATCATATACACACACACACACTCACACACACACACACACAGTTGGCTCTTTTTTTCTAATAGGATCCTGATTTTTAATTTTTGCTAATTCTTCCATAGAATCTTTTTTTTTTTTTTTTGGTACCAGGGATTGAACTCAGGGGCACTCAACCACTGAGCCACATCCCCAGCCCTATTTTGTATTTTTTTTAGACACAGGATCTCACTGAGTTGCTAAGCACCTCACTGTTGCTGAGGCTGGCTTTGAACTCGCAATCCTTCTGACTCAGCCTCCCAAGCTGCCGGGATTACAGGCATGCACCACAATGCCCAGCTCTTAGGCAGAAAACTTTTTAAAAAATATTTACTTTTTAGTTGTAGTTGGTCATAATATCTTTATTTTATTTACTTATTTTTGGTGGTGCTGAGGATCGAACCCAGGGCCTTGCACGTGCTAGGTGAGCACTCTACCACTGAGCCACAACTCCAGCCCATTACATGGAAAACTTAAAAAAAAATAATTTATGGGCTGGGGTTGTGGCTCAGGGGTAGAGCATTCACCTAGCACGTGCGAGGCCCTGGGTTTAATCCTCAGCACCACATAAAAATAAATATGTGAAATACAGGTATTGTGTCCAACTACAACTAAAAAGATAAATATTAAAATAATAATTTATAAGCGTCTGTTATATATGTTGTGAAATTCAATTTATCTGTCATTAATATTTTATCTTTTTACACTGTTTTGCTGCATGAAAGGTTTACATTTTTATGTGTTAAGTTTATCTGCATATTTATTTATGGCTTTGGATTTTATCATGTGCTGTGGTATGGCTCTTTATTGTCCCCCCAAAAAAGCTCATGTTTTGAAAGCATGGTCACCAGTATATCCAAGGATTTTAAGCTATGATTAGGGCTCTGATCTTGTTAGTGGATTAATCTATATGTTGGATTAATCAGTTGATAGTTCAACCGACTACTGAAGGATGGGTCATTGTTCACTGGGGCATGCCCTGAAAGGGTTTATCTAGTCTCTTGCCTTTTCCCCTCACCCTCTCCTCTCCTTTCCCCTCCCCTCCCTTCTTCCCCCCCCTCCTATTCTTCCTCCTCTTCTCCTTCCTTCCTTCCTTCCTTCCTCTCCCCCACATTCTCCCTCTCTCTCGCTCTCTCTCTCCCTCTCTTTCCCTCTCTTCCTTTTTCCCTCCCTCCCTCTTCCTGGCTGTCATAAACTCAGCAGCTTTGTTCAACTATGCCTTTCTGCCATGATGCTCTGTCCCACCCACCTCAGGTGTAAAGCAGTGGAGTCAACTGACCATGGACTGAGACCTCTGAAACTGTGAGCACAAAATAAGCTTTTCCTACTCTAGGTTGTTCTTATCAGGTATTTTGGACAGTGATGAACAGTTATGGTTAGAATATATTTTTCTATACCAAGATTATAAAAATATCCATTCCCTATTTTATCCATGTAATCCTGACTCCATATAGAATTGTTTTGCAGCACTGGGGATCAAGCCCAGGACCTCATTCATACTTTGCAAGTACCATACACCCCCAGCCCCATATGATACAAAAGGCCATATTTATCATGTATCATGTATTAAAGTCCCACATATACACTATTTTAAGATGTAGCAAATACCATGTGGCAAACAAAATGTCTTAGAATTCTTCAAGCCTAAGAAAGTATAACTACAGTAAGAATGGTTTTCAGTATCAACCCAGATATGCAGGGATAGAAAAAAGATGTCTGGGTGCTTAGCTGTTGAATAGAGGCTGGGGGAGGGTCAAATACAGTTGATGATATAATAAAGAGTGGTAGGATTCTGTCTGGAACTCCATAGGCCTAAAGGAAAGACTCTGGCAACCTTCTTAAGACTGCTGTACTCTTGAGTGCTGAGGTCCAATTCTATGGCTTCTCTGGATACCTTGGTGTTCAGTTAACTTTCAGGTAAGTGGCTCCCCACCAGGCATGATTAAGGTATATCAGCAAGTAAATGAATGTATCACTTATGAATGTCTTTAGTAATAGAAAGCCCAAAATATAATGGATCAAATAGGGGTTTATTATTATTATAGTAAAAATGAGGGTGAGTCCAAATGATCAAGAGAAGAGACTATGAAGTCAGACAAGTAACTAGGATCATAATCTGACCTACAATTTAATGAGATCTGTTTGGCTTCTCAGATGATGGTGGGTACCAGTGGAAGTAGTGTTAAGTGGAAGGATTCTGGATATATTTTATAGATAAATCTGACAGGATTTTTTTCTGGTAAGTAAGGTGAGGAAGTGAAAGAGTCAAAGATGATGCACAAGCACTGGCTTGAACAGCTGAAAAGTTTCCCATTGATTAAGTTTTGGAAGGTTCATAGGGGAGCAGTATAGACATCTGACCTGACACAGTGTAGTAAGGTTTGTTTTGCTTTGATGTTAGAGTGGGAATACATTTTACTTTGGACTACTGAGCATGTTCAGGATTCATCCACATAAGTCAATGAATTATCTGTGTGTGAAAGGTGGGAAGCTTTTTTTCAGTAAGAACTAACCCCTCCCCCCCCCAAAAAAAAAAAGAAGAAGAAGAACTAAACCCTTGCTTTCTAACTTTTCAGACAAAGCTGCTGTGTAAAGAACTAAGGACAAAGAAATTTCCCTTTGGCAGAGTAAGAGTCCATGGAGCCCCAGAAGCTGCTGAGCATTGTATTTCTGTTGTGTTCACTGACTTGCTCCTTGTTGGTGACAGTAGCTTCCCCTCCTTCGCCATTATATGATTTTGGAATTCAAGAAAACGCAGGACTGAAACCACGCTCAAGGGGTGTGTTTGCTGTTAGGATGAATGTTCCTATCTTCATAAGACATAGGATTCATGTTGCAGGTCAGGAAAAACTGATTTCATGTGAAATAATGTTCACAAGAAAGCTAACTATACTGGTTTGGTTAAGTTTAGTTCAACAAGCATTAACTTAACTAGTTTCTACCAAGCCCTTTGTAGGGTAGACAAAACCATAGATGCTAACCTTCCATGGAATTTAACAAATGCTCCCAAAGAACATGGGGATAATCAAAGTTGTTTGGGCAGGCGAAAAATAGGGAAGATTTGAAAAGGAGGTTAAACTTGAAATAAGGAAACATGATGGTCCACTGATCTTTCTAGAGGCTCCCAAAGCCATGCTTTCAACATGCATGCTGCAGCTCCAGTTCTGGAAAGGGTTGTGGTGACTGGTGGACTTTTTCAATTAAGTGTGAAGCCACTTTTGTTTTCCCCTGCCTCTTTCCTTAGAGTCAAATCACAATATACTCACTCTTCTGTCCCCATTTTCTAAAGGAAATACCCAACATCTCAAGCTTTACTTTGATCAGCAGATACCCCCAAAGTTTCTCTTTCCAGTTGCCCTAGCCTTTTCCTCCTCTGCTCCCAGGGCTGGTGGGTTTTTCTTTTCTCTTCATGGGATATTAATTCCCCCAAGCCTCCTGAAGTACTCTAGAACTTCCAGATATACTCTAGGAAACAATGTGTTAGTGAAGATTATCATTTTCTTGTGTTCAGTTTATGCTCCTCTTTCACAAAGTACCCCATAAATTCAACCCTTCAGATATGTAGGACAGAGATTGATATCTAGAGCAGATATCTATTGGCAGAGATATCTAGGGCAGTTGATTGTTCATATTTGATCTATAAGGATGCAAACATGATATCCACCTGAGGATACCTCTTTAAAATAATGTATACTCTTTGAACATCTTAGAGGCAGCACAGCAAAATATGTAAGACATTCTGAGTAACTGTAGGAACATATCTTGGATAACTGTTTGGGCTCAAACTGAGATTCAAATCCCAACCCCATCATTTACTTGACCTTTCTGCAGTGAATGTCTATGCTCTTTCTACAGGAGACCAGAGGTCTTGGCTGAGCGACTTCTGGGATTACCTGTGGGACCTCATCATGAGCTCCATACCTCCAGCAGCCATTTTTGCTTTTCTTATCACCATATCACTAATGGGGACCCTCTGTTGCCTAACGTAAGATACTGTAGGAATGAGAAGAGGGGAAAACTTTAGGGGTGGGGTACAGAAACACTTAGGTTCCCTAAGAGTTGCACATTTGTAATTAAGGGACAGTTTTAAGGAAAAAGATTTGGGGATCAAAACTTAATTTAACTCCTAATTTTCTTTCCTTGGCTAAGGAACCATGTATAATTGTGTTCTCAGTTGCCTGAAAATTTAACAAAATATTTATGTATATAAATCATATTAAGCCAAGGAGATTCCCAAGGAAAGAGATATAGTTAAACTAAATTTGTTAAGTGAACCAGTATTTACCAAGAAATTACCACTTGTCCATTTCTGTCTGACTTGGTTGCTAGAAAGAGAAATAAGACATATAATTTCTTTGATGAAAGGAACCAAATTAACCCAACAGAAAAATATTTTAAAATTCTAAATGTTGCAGAAATAAAAGAAGACTCTCAATAATACTCCTTGATTTTTACTGTATTTCACAGTAAGGATTGCAAATATCCTCTATGCTCATCTCTACACTAGCTTATTACCTGAGGCAATCAGCATGGAAGCCTGGATAATCTCCCAGTACTGTAGAGGCAGAGGACTGACTGGCACTAAGAATACAAAAATATACATACAAGGAAATTTTAGTACTGTTTATAATATTGAAAAAAGTGGAGACAACTTAAATGTCTGTTATTCTAGGGATGGATAAAAAAACCATTGTGCATTTATACTGTGAGTACTATATAGTCATAAAATGTTGATGTAGAGAATAATTATGTGGACACATTTATGGAATGATATTGAATGGAAAACAGATTATAATAGAGGATATGCAGTTTAATCCAATTTGTAATTTAAAACTAAACGTGCAGGACTTGATCAAAATATTAGACATTTTATCTCCATGTGATAGTGAATAGATTGTTTCAATTATTGTTATTTTCATTTTTATCATTTTATCTGAACTTGCAATCTTTCTGTAACTATATTGTTTGATCAGTACATTTTTTAACTTATACTTTTAAATGAAAGAAGAAAAACTATGTGACCATACTTCTCTATCACTACGTCCAATCCCACTGTATTAGAAACACACTCTTACTGTTTTCTCAAGTCATCAAAGCACTTAATCTGTATATGAGATAATTAAAAAAAAATTTAGTCACCAGTGCACCTTTCTTTATTTATTTCTATGTGGTGCTGAGGATGGAACCCAGTGCCTCACACATGCCAGTCAAGAACTCTACTACTGAGCTATAACACCAGCCCCTGTATTAAATAATTTGATTCATATTAAAAGAAGCAACTGTCTAAAAATTCAGTCTTGGAAAAATTACATGGTAATTCCATGCAGACCAAGAGAGTGTATAGGACTGTACACTTACTTCAGCATTTACCATTTTATCTTTTGTCAGTATTCTTATAGGTGAACCAGTCCACTGAAGAACTAGAAGACTGATTAGGGCAATTGTGGTGTTTGGTTTTCCAGATTTCAAGACAATGGAAAATGTATTGTTTGCTTAAAATGATGTTAAATTATTAAATTATATTCTGTCTTAAATTGTCTTTGCCTTAATTTTTCTTTCAAAAGATGCAATACTCTTATTACTGTTTTATTATAAAAGTAGTATTTATTGCAAATTTAAACATTTTTATTTGCTCTAAGAATTCTAAGAACTTTGATAGTATAATATAAATCTCTCCAAGACAGTAAAAAGAGGCAGGATTTCCCAAACTAATTTGAATGTGGAAGTTTTTAATGTAATGAATCTAATATGTCATTTAATCATGTCCCATGTAATAATTATTTAAGAGGTTGGAGATGTGGCTTAGTGGTAGAATACTTACCTGGTATGTGTGAGGCCCTGGGTTCCATCCCTAGCACTGTCAAAAAAAAAAAAAATACAGTGTTTCTGTGTAGTCAGTCTTATAAATGTACATATTAGTTCAAAAATCATTTTGCTTTTCCCTTTTGCTGTTCTGAGTTTGAAATTATTCATTCCAGGACACTTATTAAACATCTGTTGTGAGCCAGGCCCTTGTTCTGCACAGGTTACAAAACAGGCAACAGACAATAACCTGGTATGTTTGAGTGGCATACACAAACCTTTTTTTTATGTATGTCCTGTTTGAGTGCAGGGCAGAGTAGCACCTTGTGGACTATTGGAATGATTTGGGCTTTTCAGCAGGGTGATAGGGGAGCCAAAAGGAGGTTTCGATCAGAGTAAGGATGCAATTTGTCACATGTTTTAAAAGGGGCATGTTATCTGCCATGTTAACAATATAAGGGGGCAAGGACACGGAAGATAAGGTAGGGAAAAGCAGAGTAGCACTGGGGCTGGGGATGTGGCTCAAGCAGTAGCGCGCTCGCCTGGCATGCGTGTGGCCCAGGTTCGATCCTCAGCACCACATACAAACAAAGATGTTGTGTCTGCCAATAACTAAAAAAAAAATATTAAAAATTCTCTCTCTCTTTAAAAAAAAAAAAAGCAGAGTAGCAGGACATGGTCTACTATGGCAAGACAAGGGGAAACTCGGGACTAAGCATGTTGTTCAAATTCACTGTTTTCTTACTGATTTTCTGTTTGCCCAATCTGTTCTTTTGTGAGAGTATGGTGTTGAAGTCTTTTAATATTGTATTGCTGTTTATTTGTCCTGCAATTCTAGTAATATTTGATTTATACATTTAGGTGCTCTAATATAAAATTTACAGTTATCATGTCTTCTTTATTAATTGACCCCTTTAGCATTATATAATGATATTTATTGCTTTTGCAATAGCTTTTGACTTGAAATCTATTTCATTAGATATAACTATTGCCTCACCTACTCTCTTGGTTGCCATTTGCATGGTGTATGCTGAAGGTAGATCTTTTTTTATTAAAGCAATACAGTTATACATAGCAGTTGGGTTCATCCTGTCAAACATACATGATACTCAATTTCATCTCATAATCCCCCTGTTCCTTCCCATCCTCCCTCCCGTCCCTCCATTCTCCTTCCTCTACTCTGCTAGACTTACTTTCACTCATCTATTTATTTTTGATTGGTTCTCTGTACTTACACATATAGGTCAAATTCCCTGTGGTACATTTGTGTATGCACATAACATGATTTTTTAAAAGAGAAAAGTAGCTTTTATTTTAGACCCAACAAATATCAAGCATTTTCATATCTTTATGTTCACACTATAAGATTATTTTTATAAGCCATATGTTATGAATACAAACAAGGCTCATGGTTTAAAATGGTAGTCCAAATATATTTGATAGAAACAAATAAAATTGAGATGAACACAGGTATTTGCCTCTAAGACTATATACATATCAACTATGCCATATTTAACATTCTGTTAAATAATATTAAAGTAATGATTGTGAAATGAAAATAAAACAAATTACTATTTTCTCAAAACCATAATGATTATATTCACGTAACATGATTTTTTAACAATTCATTCTGCATTACCTTCCCTTTTTTCCCACTTTTTTTTTCTTTTCTAGTAGTGCTGGGGATTGAACCCAGGGCCTTGTGCATACAAGGCAAGCACTCTACCAACTGAGGTGTATCCCTAGCCCTGCCTCCCCATTTCTATCCTTCTACTCTAATTCTAGATCTCCTTCTACTGTATTACTGATCTTCCCTCTGTCTATATGATATCCTGTTCTTCCCTCCTTTGTTTTTTTTAAATTTATTTTTTAATTGTAGTTGGACACAATACCTTTATTCATTTATTTTTATGTGGTACTGAGGATCAAACCCAGGGTCTTGCATGTACAAGGTGAGCACTCTACCGCTGAGCCACAACCCTAGCCCTTCCCTCCTTTATTTTACTGTAGCTTCCACATATGAGAGAAAGCATTCAACCTTTGAGTTTCTGAGCCTGGCTTATTTCACTTAGCATGATAACTTTCAGTCCCAACCATTTACAAGCAAATTCCATAATTTCATTCTTTATAGTCGAGTAGAGCTCCATGGTGTATATAATGGCAGTTTCTTAAATCATTAATCTATTGACAGACATCTGAGTTGATTCCATAATTTAGCTATTGTGAATTGTGCTGCTATAAACATTGAGATGGCTGTATTGCTATAGTATGATGATTTCAGTTCATTTGGAAAAATACCAAGGAATGGGATAGCTGAACCATATGGTGATTTTATGCCTAGTTTTTTGAGGAATCTCTACACTGCTTTCCAGAGTGCTTGTGCTAGTCTGCAGTTCCACCAGCAATGTACAAGTGTACTTTTTCTCCCACATCCTCACCATCATTTATTATTGTTTGTATTCTTTATCATTGCCATTATAACTATAGTGAGATGAAATCTCAATTTAGTTTTGACTTGCATTTCCATAATTGCTAAGGATGTTGAACATTTTTAATGTATTTGTTGGCTATTTGTGTTTGTTTTCACTAGTTTCTGTTTATTACTTTTGTTCATATATTGATTGGGTTATTTGTTTTTTGGTATTGAGTTTTTTGAGTTCTTTATATATTCTGAATATTAATCACCTGTCAGAGGAACAGCTAGTAAAGATCTTCCATTCTTTAGGCTCTCTTCACATTCTTGTCTTCTTTGCTGTGCAAAACCTTGTTAATTTGATGCTGTCCCACTTATATATTCTTGGTTTTATTTCTTCCACCTAAGGGGTCTTATTAAGGAAGTCAGAGCTAGCAACAATATGATAAAGTGTTGACCTATGTTCTCTTCTAGCAGTTGCAAGGTTTGTGGTCTAATTTCTAAGTCTTTGATCCATTTTGACTTGACTTTTGTTCAGAGTGAGAGAGATGGACCTAATTTCATTTCTTATATATAGCCATACAGTTTTTCCAGCACCATTTGTTTAAAAGGCTGTCTTTTCTCCAAAATATATTTTTGGCACCTTTGTCAAGTATTATCTGTAAGTATGTGGGTTTGTTTCTCAGTCTTATATTCTATTCCATTGGTGTTCATGTATATTACAGTGCCAATACCACACTGCTTTTATTACTACAGTATTATTTGAGATTAGGTATTGTGGTGCCTGCTGCTTCACTCTTCTTGCTCAGGATTGCTTTGGCTATTCTGGATCTCTTATTATTCCAAATTAATTTTAGGACTTTTTTTTTTCTGTGAAGCATGTCGTTGGTATTTTGATGGGAATTGTATTGAATCTATATAGCACTTTTGGTAGTATGGCCATTTTGACAATATTAATTCTGCCTATCCAAGAATATGGAGGAATGAATGTCTTCCCATCTTCTAAGGTCTTCTTCAATGTCTTTCTTCAGTGTTCTGTTATTTTCATTGTAGATCTCTTTTACCTCCTTGGTTAGATTAATTCCCAAGTGTTTTATTTTTTAGAGGTTATTATGAATGGGATGATTTTTTTAATTTCTTCCTCAGCTTAATTACTGTGGGAGTGTATGAAAGCTATTAATTTCTGGGTGTTGATCTTGTATCCTGCTACTTTGATGAACTCATTTATAAGTGCTAGAAGTCTTCTGGTGGAGATTTTGGGGGTTTTTTTGGGGGGGAGGGGACAGTCTTCTAGATATATGATAATGTCATCAGCAAACTCAGATAGTTTGACTTCTTTTCCTATTTGAATCACTTTAATTTCCTTCTCTTGCCTGATGCTCTAGCTAGAATTTCAAGGACTATGTTGAATAGAAGTTTTGAGAGTGCACATCCTTGCCTCTTTCCTGATTTTAGAGGAAACACTTCTAGTATTTCTCCATTCGGTATGATGTTGGCTTTGAATTTTTCATAAATAGACTTTATGATGTTGAGGTGCATTCCTTTCATCCATAGCTTTTCAAGCATTTTTAACATGAATGTGTGGTGGATTTTATTAAAGGCCTTTTCAACATTTATTGAGATGATCATGTAATTTCTTGTCCTTAATTCTGTTAAAGTGGTAAATTACATTAATTGATTTCATGTATGTTGAACCAACCTTACATCCCTGGAATAAGACACACTTGATAATAGTGTATTATCTTTTTGATTGTTTTTTTAATTCAGTTAGGCAAATATTCTATTTACCTGTGACCTATTTTGGAAAAAGTTTCATGAGCTGCTGAGAAGAAGGTAAATCCAGTTGTTTCTGGGATGAAATATTCTGTAGAGTCTGTTAGATCCATTTGATTTATGATATTATTTAGGTTGGAAATACCTGTATTATATGTTTTGGTGGCCTGTCTATTGGTGATAAGGATGTGTTAACATCACCCAGTAATATCTTGTTGGGGTCTAGCTGAGATTTAATGTCATGGAGTATTTGTTAATGTAATTGGATGCACTGACATTTGGAACATAAATATTTATTATCATCATATCTTCTCTCTGTGCCTGTTGCAACCACACTGGACCAGGCATACTCTGGATTACACAACAGGTGACTGCTAGCACAGACAGGCAGGCGACTTCCTTTATCAATTTCCAATCTCCAGCCTCTGCTTGTAGCTGTGTGGCCACTCAAAAATGGTTCGCACCCCTTTGGCTGAACAATTTTAGTCACGTTTAACACAATAACTTCCCCCGCCATCTCTGGGTCAGTTAAGCTCACCCTTGCTC